TGATTTACTGACTACTTACTTTTTTACAATTTGTGTTAGGGCTGTCAAGTGATTAAAAAAAAATTAATCGCAATTTGTTGCGCTGTCAAACAATAATAGAATACCATTTATTTAAATATTTTGGGATGTTTTCTACATTTTCAAATATATTGATTTCAATTTATAACACATAATACAAAGTGTACAGTGCTCACTTTATATTCGATTACAAATATTTGCACTGTAAAAAACAAAAGAAATTGTATTTTTCAGTTCACCTAATATAAGTAATGTAGTGCAGTCTCTTTATCATGAAAGTTGAACTTACAAATGTAGAATTATGCACAAAAAAAAACTGCACTCAAAAATAAAACAATGTAAAACTTTAGAGCCTACAAATCCACTCAGTCCTACTTCTCGTTCAGCCAATAGCTCAGACAAACAAGTTTGTTTACATTTGCAGGAGATAATGCTGCCGGCTTGTTTACAATGTCACCTGAAAATGAGAACAGGAGTTCACATGGCATGGTTGTAATCCGTATCGCAAGATATTACGTGCCAGATGCACTAAAGATTCATATGTTCATATTCATGCTTCAACTACTATTCCAGAGGACATGCATCCATGCTGATGATAGGTTCTGCTCAATAACGATCCAAAGCTGATGATAGATTCTGCTCAATAACAATCTGATGCATGTTCATTTTCATCATCTGAGTCAGATGCCACCAGCAGAAGGTTGATTTTCTTTTTTGGTTTTTCAGGTTCTGTAGTTTCCGCATTGGAGTGTTACTCTTTTAAGACTTCTGATAGCATGCTCCACACCTCATCCCTTCTCAGATTTTGGAAGGCACTTCAGAGTCTTAAATTTTAGGTCAAGTGCTGTAGCTATCTTTTTAGAAATTTCACATTGGTATCTTCTTTACATTTTGTCAAATGTCCTTAAAACAAACAATATGTGCTGGGTTCATCAACCAAGACTGCTATAACATAAAATAGATGGCAGAAAGTAGGTAAAACAACAGGAGACATACAATTCTCCTCCAAGGAATTAAGTCACAAATTTAATTAACACATTATTCTTTAACAAGCGTCATCAGTCCATTGGAACGATGGCCATAGCATGAAGAGGCATAAGAATCTTTAGCACATCTGGCATGTAAATATCTTGCAACGCCAGCTATAATGGTACCATACCTGTTCTCACTTTCAGATGACCTTGTAAATAAGAAGTGGGCAGCATTATCTGCCATAAATGTAAACATATTTGTTTCTCTTCGCAATTGGCTGAACAAGAAGTAGGACTGAGTGGACTTGTAGGCTCTAAAGTTTTGTTTTGTTTTTGAGTGCAGTTATGTAACAAAAGAAACTACATTTGTAAGTTGCACTTTCATGATAAAGAGATTGCACTACAGTACTTGTATGTGGTGAATTGAAAAATAGTATTTCTTTATAATTTTTACAGTGCAAATATTTGTAATAAAAAATAATATAAAGTGAGCACTGTACACTTGTATTCTGTGTTGTAATTGAAATCAATATATTTGAAAATGTAGAAAACATCCAAAATATGTAATACATTTCAATTGGTATTCTATTGTTTAACAGTGCGATTAAAACTGCGATTAATTTTTTTAATCGCAATTAATTTTTTTGAGTTAATCATGTGAGTTAACTGCAATTAATTGACAGTCCTAGTTTGTGTTTGTCTCGCAGTCTAGAAATCATAATTTAGATTTTGTATGTCTCTGTGGAAATACGTATGTACAATTAATGCATGAGTGCACATGACAAATTTTATATAATTTGTAATGATTGTAGGGTGAATGAAAATCTGTTCTGTGTTTTCTTAAATTTTTTTTATTTCAATTGGATTTTAGATTTAAATCAGACTTTTTTAATTTATGTACAGATATAGTTTAAAAAATATATCTGTTGAAAATTAATTTTTAATTGACAATCTATGTTAAAGCCTACATTTATTATAATCTATTAAAATCATTTAGGCTAAATACAAGAAATACTATTAATCAGTACATTTCCTGATAAAGTATTAAAGAAAGTCAAAGCTCTGAACTGGTGGAAGTCACTGGCTAAGCACCTGGAACCAGTTTTTGTTGAACTGCTAAACCAGCTTTTGACAGCAGTAGCCTCTTCTGTAACTGCAGAGAGAGTATTTTCTTCATTCCAGTTTATTTCAACTAGTTCAGTTCAATGACTACTTCATTCAAAGTTAAGACACCTAGTGGGAGCTGGAAAAGCAGGAAAGCTTGTTTTCCTCTTCCAATCTATAAACAAAAAACAAGATGTAAGAGGATGATCTCTACTATTTAGTGATATTTCAGAACCCCATTCAGCAAGGCCCACAGGTTTACTCACAAACCAAAGGAAACAGAGAGACTGCTGCTAACCCCGAGTTCTTGAATCCAGTGTCCAGGCTTCATTCACACAGGTACAGAGTGCCACACCTCAGTGATCAGGTGGAAGATAGCAGGCTAATGAATTGTCTGTCAGATAGACAGAGACCTCAGGTCCCAATATGATCTTTTATACACAGTATTACATATCACCTTTTATCAATACTCCTCATTCTTTAGCCCATTCACTCCTTTTCTATTTGGTAATATTTACTACCCTGTATGATAATCCAGATTACACACTAAATTATATAACATGTTTTTCTAAATTTTTAACAATAACAAAACTATCAATTCTAGTTATCTGACAGAAACTTCCCTCATTTTCCCTAGACACACCAAAAACTCAATAACAGAATGTCCAGATGTTACGATTCATTGCCAGGAACCTTTGTTCACACTGTCCTATCTCAAAACATTATACAGAGGTCATAACCATACTCAGTTATGCAGGCATACAGAATCTTCATATATATTGCTCATATATTACTTATGCATCTATTTATGCACTAATTGCTAATCGGTTATCCGCTAAGTAAGGATTAGGCCTTTATCATGTAGTATGAGGTAAGCTTACCTAACTGATGCTTCATTTACTTATATACTTGTTCTAAAATCTTGAAGGAAATGGCGACCAGAAACAATCAGTTAAATTCACTAACTATAGCTAATACGTTCTTTGTTTAATAAATTTGTTCGTTTAAGGGTATGTCTAAACTGAAATTTAAAACCCCTAACTGGCTCGTGCCAGCTGACTAAGGCTCACAGGGTTTGGGGTAAAGGGCTGTTTCCATTACATTTGGGTTCAGGCTAGAGCTTGAGCTCTGAAACCCTGCCCCCTTGCTCCAGCGCAGAGCCCAGCTCCAGCCCACGCCTGAATGGCTACACTGATTACTGAATGGCCCTTTACCTTAAGCCCCATGAGCCCAATGAGCACAGGCCAGCTGCAGGTTTTTAATTGCAGTGTAGACGTATCCTTAAAGGGAAAAGATATTATGATAAACTTTTTTTTCCCTATGTATCCAGCACATTTAAGGTGGTTTTATTTCATTAAAAATGCTGCTTTGGGAAATTCTTAGTTGAATTTTATTATCTATCCAACTAGAGCTTGACAAAAATCATTAGTGAACAAATCTGGTAAATAAGACATGCATCATTCACCATTTTCTAAAATAAAAAAGTAAAAATTAAGACTCTAAATGTAAGTTAAGCTATATAATTGCTTGAATAAAAATATATAGATATAGTGTGTCCTCCTGGATAGCAAAGAGAAGCCCCAAATTTAGTTTAAAGGCTATATGTAGTTGTAATCAACACATTTTAATGGTAGGCTGATTTTCATTTGTTGCCATTCTTTAAGAAAAGAACTAAAAAAATAAAATGCAAAACATCATTAAAATAGATGATTCCAGTAATTCAGAGTGGATTTATGTAAAAGTACTTGGCACTAATTGTTTTAACATAGACTATCAGGATTACTGTGATAGGATACACTGTAGAAAAGTGACTTTGGAGATGATGTAACACTATTGTATTCTGTTCCCCTTTACATTATGGCTCAATGCTTTTGGTTACCAAAATAAGTAAAAAGTGTGCAAGGAGGTGCATGTTATGGGAGCAGCTGATGCCCCTTCTGATAGCGTGGTGGCCTGTGTGCAAGCACCAGATACGATTGTCATTCACCTCGGGGGAAATGATTTAGGAATGTGTAAAGGGTTGGACTTAATGTTCAGAACTCAGAGGGACTTGGGCCAGATCCTGGAACTTTTCCCAGGAGTAAAAACTATTTGGTTGGATATGTTGTGACACAGCATGTGGCAGGAAGCTGCGAAGCCTACATGGGTTGTCATGAGTAGGAGGTCTGAGAAGAGGGAGGTGGCCAAAATCATAGATGGCATAAGGAAGTTGGTGATTTCTCATCCTTACATAGCATATCGGGCAAGAGTTATTCAGGGTGAATGGGGTTGACCTGCAGACTTAGATGCTGATGTGTTTTTGGCTGGTATTGAAGAAGGCATCAGTAGATTTCTGGGGACCCGGCTAGATATGGGAGAAGGTAGCCAAGCTAATTGCTGGTGCCTCCTTGTGGCAGATGTCCAGTGCAGATACTCCATAGGGAATGGATACAGTGATCAGATGAAATAGATTGAGAAAAGATTTAAAGGAGGTATTCTTTAAAGGAGTGGAAACGGGTGTTTAGGGGCTGGTACGACAGGGAGTCAGCCCCCCTTATTTGGGGAGGGGGTGAGAGGTCCCAGCAGTGGGATTGGTGGGGACCAGGATAGGTAAGAGGGAGCACTGTCTCCGGGTGTATGTAAATAATTAGAGAATTATCTGCACTGTAAACTTTTATCTGCCAGGTACTCCCAGACATTTAGGAATAAAGTTGCAGCCTTATTAAAACACATCCAGTATCTCCTGTCCTTCTGGCATAGCCGGACAATAGACCAGATATTAGGTTTTCTAATAGAATTCTCTAATGAATAAATCACTGCAGAATGCGTATGTACTTTAACACAGTGTCAAGTCAAATAAAAAGGATAAAAAGAAACTAAGTTCTAATTAGTAACACCCAAAATTAATGGAAGTTTGTTTGTTTTCAGGTGGAAATAAGGATAATATCAGGGCAGGATGCAAGAAGTGTGGCTATCGTAAGTATGAAGGCAATATAAAGATGCCCAGAGTGCAGTTTGAGAGAAACTTTTGAAAGCTGAGCCATCTCTTCGGGAAAATGAAACAGTCCCCGCACACACCACACAAACACACCACCTCTGCAGTTTGTTGTTAAAAGCCTGCCTATCATAATTTATACTTTTTTTTTTTTTGTCGGCTCCCTATCCCCACATGTGTAGCTCTTCATAAGTAGGGACCTACCAATTTCACGGCCATGAAAAATGTGTCATGGACCGTGAAATAAGCCCTTCCCTGTGAAATCTGATCTCCCCTGTGCTGCTGGGAGCGCCCCAGCCGGGGGCTTCTAGCTGCAAATCCCTGCTGGGGAGGGGCAGGAGTTCCTCTTCACCTACAGGGCTGCTCAGGGGTGGGGGGGACAGACCCACCTCTGGGTACCTTTCGGGTTGGGACCTCCAGGGTTACAACACAGTGAAATTTCAGATGTAAACATCTGAAAACATGAAACTGACTAAATTTAAAACCCTCTGACTGTGAACTTGATCAAAACGAACCTGAATTTGGTAGGGCACTAATAATAAGATATTACTACTTTCCTACATGCTTCAATGAGAAGTGAAATGGCTAACAAATTTGACATTTTAAAGTATCCTCATTGGTATCTGAGTTGGCACCCATGTTCATAGAATATCAGGGTTGGAAGGGACCTCAGGAGGTCATCTAGTCCAACCCCCTGCTCAGAGCAGGACCAATCCCTAATTTTTGCCCCAGATCCCTAAATGGTTCCCTCCAGGATTGAGCTCACAATCCTGGGTTTAAGCAGGCCAATGCTCAAACCACTAAGCTATCCCTCGACCTGCCCATTTTGATGAATGAGCAGTTTACATCTCAGAACTGTTGTATCAGGCTCTCTGCAAGTTCAAACAACAATTTTTGCATTGGTTACAATCATTTCACGTTTTGAATGTTTTCTTCACTATACCAGATACACTCTTTTTTTTTTTTTTTTTTTTTTTTTTTTTATTGAAAGCCGAGACGCTAAAGAACAATTCAGTGGCTCTTCCTCCCCTCCTTCCTGCCCAAGAAAGCTGTTCCTTTGCATGCCCCACTCTTTGGAGGACACTACCATAAGACACTACCTTGCAAGTGCTGTAGCTGTTCTTTATCGTTTCCATTGTATGTTGTGTTGCATGGGGAGCTCAGTGATTATTCTCTTAAATCTTAGCACAGAATTACACTATAAACCAGATAATTTTTTTAAAGATAGTTTTTAATACTAAATCCTCATATTACATGTTTGATACTATTTAAGTAATTAATTATTCCCTTAATTATTAATGAACATTTTGTTGACAAACCTTTCAAACCATTTTTTAATTGATTTAGAAAAAGGTTACGTGGTGAGAGAGGTGGTAGACTTTCTTCCAGCAAGTTTTGACACTGCGTTCCTTTACTTGTCAACGCCTCTCGAGGCAATTAGATGTTAGTACAGAATTAATTGTTTGATAAGTGCAGTGTTGTAAACTTTCTGGATATGAAAGAAATTAGGAAAGCCAAGTAACCTATTCTGTTTTAATGTTCCCTACTGCTTTGGCTTCAGAAGATTATCTTTGATGGGAAGAAGCTGTGTTTGTAGCAGTAACTAGCCTGGTTCCTGTGGAGACTTCCAGCAGGGTTTCCCTTTTGTATGGGGCTAAATTATGTTTTCAGCTGACAGCTTTACAAGTTATCATAGGTTTGGAGCTCCCTTTTATCACATTTTTCCCCAGGTCCATTATTTCAGATGCGTTAGGAGTTTCTGTTGTCTGGATACAAATTTAGGATTTTTGGCCCCGCATTTTTTAAAAATACACATTGCTACAGATAACTGCTGCTGCAAAGCGATCTTTAATGAATAGCATTTCTCATATTGACTGTATTAAAAAGGAATTAGTCTATTTATTATCTCTAAGCTAGAAATGTTTATCGCTTATTACAGTAATTGGGAGAAGGTCATAAGACAGTTCATTTCACCATTATCCTGGAATTTTGATTTTGAGCTGATCATAGAAAGAATATATTGAGATTTATTTATTTTTAAATGGCAAGCTGTCGCTTCCACCTCACATCTGTCTTTCTGGTTCAATCCCCATGTTTCAGTATAAGTTCAGTGTAAGCTAGCTTCAAATTCCTTTTTTCTAATGTGTCTGTAAAGCACTAGAAACTCAGACACACACATATGTTTTAGAAAATAAAGAATGACATAGTATACGTACACATTTTTAGTTGATAACCTTTGGTTACTGCAGATATAATTTGTCACTGGAAGGGAGTAGACTCTCACATGTCACTCTTTTTAAAAAAAATAATTTAATTTGGAAAACATTTCACCTTCCTTCAAATCAGTTCTTCAGGGAAGGGTATGCGACACATTCACAAAAAATGAAGAAGACTATGCAAAAGCTTTGAGGGAAGTGGTTCTAAAAATAAATTGATAATTGATGGGAATGGCACCAGATGCTAATTGGAACTCTCTCTCCCTAAAACAAAAACATTTCTGCTCTGTACACAGCCCCAAACTTTGCAATAGTTTTTCAAAGTGATATTCCTTTATTTTTCCACTGACAAACCAAATTAAAGTCCATCCCTTTTATGAAATCTGTGTAATACTAAAATGCATATTTCTCAGCACAAAGCAGTAACTCTTTAACATTATTTTATAATTTGAAGTATTTCTGCTTGTGGCTTACTCTTTTGATTTTTATTCAGCTGGTCATCTGACATTTGAATGCAGAAACTTTCTCCGGGTGGACCCCAAAAGAGACATTGTTTTAGACGTCAGCAGTACAAGCAGTGAAGACAGCGAGGAAGAAGAGCTGGGGAAACTGCAGGCCTTACCAGAGAAAAAGAGTAAGTTTTTTAAATAACAGAGCATAATCCTAAATTGGGAAACTATCTCATTTAAACTCTGGTAGCTGTCATTTAACTCCTTTAGAGTTCCCTTTTTACTCTATCTTATCCAGTGACCTAAAAAAATTGCTTTTATGGGATGGCTCCAGGCTAAAGAGATTTGAGAGACCCCCTGACACCTTGTGGAAAAATTAGAAAAGCTTCGACTTAAAAACATTTGACCAAGATATTCAAGCATGGGTGTCTACATTTAGGTTCTTAAATCCAAAAGATTGTGAGTTTGGGAATGTGCAAATGCGGGGAAAGTAATATACATTATTTCATTGATGTTATCCTTTGTTTATTGCATAAAACTGAAATGATTCTCTTTTTCTCTCTCCTTTCCCCAAGTAAATGATGCCTCTTTAAATGCTTTTCTTTGTTCAGTCTGTTTCTTCTCTTGAATTCGTAAGCATTATTTTGTTTGAATGCAGCTAATAGTTTTGATTTGACAGTTAACATTTGGAGGGATAATTGCTCGCTCTCTGTCTTGGGGAAATGAGGCTCAGCCTCTATAGAGGAAGCAAAACCAGGTGGGGTTAGTTAGTCCACAGGTACGCAAGTTCATCAGAAGATGATGCAGGAGGGCTAAGGTTTCAACCTACAAAAAGGTCCCCGATGGTGGATGGGGTCTGTTCTAGCATACTATGAGCCCCCAATTTAGGAATGCTGGGGCATGATATTCTGCTGTTACTTTGCAGTTAGTCTTTGTTATTCTCGGATCATGTATTTTAGATACACCAACCCTGATGCACTTTTCTTAATATTTTTTACTCATTTGCATTATTATTGCTCTCTCATTCTAGACCCTGCCTCCACTTCCTAATCAAAACCCTATCTGTGTGCATGTCTACACTGCAATCACGGTGCTGCAGGTGTAGACATACGCAAGCTCTCTTTAATCTAGCTAGTGTGAGTACTAGTATGGTGAAGCCACAGCAGCACAGGTGTCAGCATGGGATGTGCAAGCACACCTGGGACTCTGGGTACGAACTGGGAGCACTAGCCCATGCTGAAATCCTTGCTGCTGTGACTTCACTGCTATTGGTATTCACTCTAGCAAGATTAAAGCTAGCTTGGGTGTCTCTGCATGTGCTACAGTCACCTCTAACCGCAGTGTAAACATACTCTGTGAGGTGGTTATTTTGATGACATTAGGAAGGCGAGGTAGAGAGATGAGTTCCAACATAGCCTTCTGTATTGCTAGAACACTTCAAAAGAAAAGCTTGGACCTCTTTTGGTAAAATTAGTTGCTGAATTTGCTTTCCCAAAAAGCCTTTCTTTTGAACTTGTGGATAGGAACAAAGTTGTTCAGAAAAACTGTGTACTTGTGGACCTAGGGATTTCTGAAACCATGGCTCTGAATGGCCACTCATTTAGGAAAAAAGGGTAAATGTAGCCCTGGAGAGAAACAGTTAGTTGTACGTAGATATTTAGAGGATAGTGTGTTATCCCTATCTAGTATAGATGTTCTTCCTTAAGTTGTAGGTGCTCTATACAGCATTTTTGAAAACTCATCTAGGTTTTTTGGAAATGTTTTCTCTCCTGTTTTTTTAAACGTCTCCCACTTCAGGCTGCTTGTTCCACTAAACGTCAAAAGTCATTTTGACATAAAAGAATGATGGTCACACATGATTTTAATTGGATGGACAAATTCAGCACTAAAAGGTAGATGTTTCCTGGGAAAAATCTAATTCAAAGACTGAAGGAAGTATTATAATCAGATATTATACATCCTTACATCTGGTGTCATGGTTTTAATCTTATGGAATTACTTAAAATAAACACTGGCAATCTTAATATTATGAATTTTGAATTTATAGGTTTTATATATCTTTGTTACTAATATCTCATAAAACCTAGATGTGTATTTTCTCCATTTATACAATTTTGTTGTTGCTTGTTTGGAAACTCAACTATCACCTGTTTTAGTGATGATATCTTCATGGTTATGGAATGATGTCACGTCCTCAATCCCATCTCCCCTACACCAGTATCAGTCTTCAGATGAGTGATCCAAGTAAACTCTCAGCAGGGCTTCCCCTCCTGGGAGTGCATGAGTTGAATTCCTAGGATAAAGTCTTACTGCTTGAAGGATACCTTTCTATGGCATCCATGGTGATCTGTGGGCAGTTTAAGAAGCACTGGCTTAAAGTATCCTTAAAAGGATGCCTTCCTTTGTGGAAAGTTTTTTTTGTTTTGTTTTTAAATAGGTTTGTGTGATAGTCAGGTGTGGGGTACATACATCCTAAGACATGAAGGGTTTAACAGACTGCTCTGGGTCTGTGAAAATAAAGCAGCCCTGCAACCACTGCCCAAGATGTCACTTCACTCAAGGTTAAATTAACTTAAGAAGCAAATGAAATGTGAGAAGGAGGCAGGTTAAGTTAGGATTGTCCAGACAGAGGAACATAAAATCTCTGCCTGAAGTCTGGCAACTAGGCCCAATGTCAGAGAGGACACTTGATTCCAAGTAGAGAACAAATGAGAGAAGAAGCCAAGAACTATCTCCAATTCAACAGGTTAATCATTAATATTTGGAGGATTTTCTTGTCATGCTTTATTAGGAGGAGAACCTCACCAGACAGACATTTGAATTGTTTTATTTAAGTAAAACCACAACTTTATGTATTCTGGATTTTTTTCTTCAACAGCAAATGTATATTTTAACAAAACAAGCATATGAATTTTTGAATTTAGTTAAACATTCAAGTTTTTTAAAATCAGATTTGTTTTTGTTAACTATTTTAGTTAAAATTTTTTTTGAATATTTAAATATTTTGAATATTTTTAAAAAACCACAAAAATTAAATCGACTATGTCAGCCAGGTCAACATGAGAAACTTAAAATATTGACTTCTGCAGCTAACTCGGTCATCTTCACCTTCATTTTCCTATTTGTTCATAATCTGGAAAAGAAAAACCAAGCTTTCCTGCTTTTTCAGGTCCCAAACGATTTCTCAATTTGGAATGAATTAATCCAAAGGAAGAAAATACTCTATCTTCACCAGCAGAAGAAGCTACTGCTGTTAAAAGTGAGATTATCACTTTAACAGTCTCTGAATCCAAGTGCTGAAGTGACTTCCACCAGTTCACTGGTGTGACTTTCTTTAAAACATCATCAGCAAACATATTTCTTGAATGGTTCACCCTGAGCTCTGAAGTTTATTATAGTTGGCATTATGAAGGGATGATTGCTGGATGTCCATGTCATAGCCAACTCCTCTTCTTCAACAGTTCAGGTTTGACCCTGGTATCAAGTATTGAGAATATTTGCAAGAAAATGAGCTGGAGATAGTGCTTGTCCCATTCGTTTTTTTTAATGCTTGTAATTTAACTCTGTCATTGCATATTTCTCTTTTTAAGATCTCACTCAGTTCCTTCCAAATTTCAACAGCGTCAGCAATAAAACAGCTATTTCCCTGCATTTTGTTCAAGACTACAGAAATAGGCTTCAGGGTACTCAGCATGTGTTCAGCATTTCTCTTAAGCCCAATGTTGAGAACTTTGGCTGTGACAGTGCCATCTATTTTTTCACGATTTTGTTCACAAACTGTCATCAGATTAGGCCAGATCTTGATATAGTGCTCAAAACAGTCCAATACTGAGTTCCATCGCACGTCTTGTGGGAGAGTTAGCTTGGTTCCTCCCACTTTTTTCAGAGCAGCTGCTGCAACGTGGTTGTTACGGAAGTATTTTGCAATTTTAACATTAGTCTTTTTATTTCTGGAAGACTGAAGTCTTTAGCTAGGAGGTACATCAAATGAGTACTGCAACCGTATGTTGTTAGCTTGGGACTCTCTTCTAAATAATTTCTTCTCATCTTCGATACATTTGCAGCATTGTCTGTGGCCACACTGCGTACTAGACATTTGAATTTTTTTCACTGTTTTTGTTATAGCTCTTACTGCTACTTCTTGCAAGTATTTTCCTGTGTGCGCATTTCCTGATGTATCAATTGTTTCTGCAAGGAAGACATTCCCTTATTCTGTTGTCACACAAGCACATACAACAGGATCATTGTGGACATTGCTCCACTCATCAAGACTCAGGTTAACAATTTTACCCTCTAGACCTTTGCAAACTGCTCAATTTCTCTTTCATACACTTTATCCAGCAGTTTGCCTGTGACATCTGCTCTGTTGGGTGGACTGTATCCTGGTCTTAATGACTGAACCATGTTAATGAAGTGTGGGTTCTCAATCATACAGAAAGGAGAGTTTGTTGCATAAACAAACCAGGCAATCTTTTCATCAATTACCTCTTTTTGTAATCTGCTGGTTCTTCTTACAAATTCATCTATGGTTGCTTCTGGATGATGGAGATTTTTTTTTTTTTCTTTTTGCTACAGGTAGTATACTGTGGCTATGTGACATACGTGATGTAACTGAAACACGATCGTTGGCAGATAACTCTGAAACTGTAGAAAATGACGGTGATCTTGAAGGTGGATAGTCTTCAGAATCCTGTATGTTGAGGATGGATTCTCCTAAACAAAATAAGTCAATGCAGTTATTTAATTATTATTACGACACTGAAGATCCTGTATGTTCAGAATGTTCCTTTCATCATCTTCAGCGCAGCTTCCTCCTGAGAAGGAACACTTCTCATGATGTTGTTTCATTCGGGCAACCAGGCCTTACATTTCTTCATTGCACTGTTTGCATTTTGCACGCATGCCTGCGTTACCCACAAGTAGAGGAACTTCATTCAAATATTCCCAAACTGGGTCTCTTTTACGGCCTGCTGCCATTATAGGTTTTCCTTTCTAGTGAGAGAATGGTATGGTAGATCTCAAATCAATGAAGACTACACTCAGAAAGACCTCAAGACTTCTGGAATATGCTGCTCAAACAGTTTCACTTGTTTCTACTGCCTGTCCTTCCCTTCTCACATTTATCTCCAGACTTCTTCTCCTTGTCCAGATCTATTCCACCCCAACAATCTTCTATTCATTTAACTTTTTGAAACTTTGCACTTTTAGAGAGAGGTAAGGAATTGACTCTGTGTACACAAATTTGCAGAGGGACAATAGGGTTGAGGTCTGTTTCTCACCTTTATATATTTATTTATTTAAAAACATTTTTGCTGTTAACAAGCATGTTATCTCTGGAGACACAAATCCAGTTTGAGAACTGCAAAACTAAGCATCTCTGACAGTATCTTCTAAACTGAGCACTGAGTCCCATTGGGTTGATAGAAAGATTAACCTAAATAATCTATACAGAAGACCCTGGAACCCCATAAGATTAGGTCCCTAATCCATGATTTATTGGAACTCATTTACAAAACTTTTCTTAAACATTATGTGAATATATTGTCTCATACTATAGAATTAGAATTTATAATCCCTATTCCATGATGAGATATCTTTAAGCTATAATGTATCTTAATTAAAATGATCTTTAGATAGGCTTTTTCCTCAAAAAGCATTTTATCAAAAAAATCGAATTTAAATTAAAAAAAAATCTGATTTAAAAAAAAACACATTGATTTTTATCCTTCCAAGGGGAGTAGGTTTCTATTTGATTATTTTCCATTACTTTGACAAACAGAGGTGATTGTATATCCTTCCTTGAAGTAAAGAATGGCCCAGTTTACAGACTCCTTTAGGAGTTTTCTCCTGATCTGTGGGACTAGATACAACCTGGTTGGAGGGAATCAGGGTTTGTTATGGGTGTTTGTTCCTTTTTGGAAGGACGCAGATCAGTACAGTACTCTTGTTTTAAGGTTCTTCCGTTGTGGTGTTCCATTGTTTGGGGACTGATGTGGTCTATAGCCACGTTATCTGTCCTACCTTCTTCATAGGCCACGTCGTTCTCTTATGAGTTTGCATAATTCTTCCACAAGGAAATTTTAAAGGTATTAACAGCAGTTGTCACCGGCTGCCATTTTTTCTCAGTAATGACACTTTTCCTTTATCTAGTGTGTTCCATTTGAATATCTCAAAGTGCTTGATGGAGAAACTCAGGCACAGAGAGAGAAGTAATTTGCCCACGGTCACCGGCAGTGCTGGGAATTGAACCTAGGTCATCTAGGTCACAGTCTAGTGCTCTATTTGTCACTGTATCCCTTTCTGCCATGTGTTGTTTCCCACACACACTTTAACATAATTTAGTACTAATGAAATATACTAACTGAACTGCCTTAATCAAAGTTTGCTTTTTTGTTTAGTTTTTTAAACCAGTGGTTCTGAAACTTTTGTACTGGTGACCCCTTTCACATACCAAGCCTCTGAGTGCGACCCACCTTATAAATTAAAAACACTTTTTAATATATTTAACACCATTATAAATGCTGGATGCAAAGCGGGGTTTGGGGTAGAGGCTGACAGCTCGTGACCCCCCATGAAATAACCTTGCAACCCCTTGAGGGGTTCCAACCGCCAGTTTGAGAACCCCTGTTTTAAACTAAACAGAACAGGGAAAGTGAGCGTAGCTACAGTGGAGGTTTACCCACAAGTGTTTTCAGTCGCTACCTTGACAAGCTACCTGACTAGAACAACAAACATTTGATTCTCCATGCCTGTTCAGACCTTTGTACCTCTGGTGAGATTGCCAACAAATGTGGTAGTATTTTTTGTGACATGTGCCTTATACAGTATCCAGGTTTATCAGTACCAAGTTAGGTTGCTGTAATATGCTGATGAGCCACAATAAATAAAGTGACATGCATGTCCATCATCCCACAGCTGCCATGGATAAATCCTACTTCGGTATAAACAATTGCTGTTTGTGAGAGTGTCCATATACAGTCTAGACTACACACAAAAATAGTAAATGAGATGGGGGATATGAAAGTTATTCAGATAAACAAGAGGGAGTGTCTGTTGTATTCGATACATGTGGGAAATAGGACCTCCTTTCAGGTCTTTGAGTTTCAGATAAACGAGGCTTGACTGTTACTAAAGAGTTAAAAAGGACATTAGCATACAAACCTCCTGAAGGGGATGTAAACACAGATATACTGTTGTGGAGGAAGAGATGCAAGGAGCAGCTTCTTGTGAATGTAGCAGTTTTTACCATGTTTCACATATCTAATTTTGTTCTCGGTACTTAGATGCAGGTCCTTTACAATGTGAGTTGTGTAACCAAAGTGCGGATGCTCTGCAAAATATTTGAAATGAGTCTGAAAAATAGCACTTGGTTACAAAATGTTTTGGTCTTGAAACAAACATTAGCAATAAAAAAAGTACTGATTTCAGTGAGTTTTTTAATTAATTTTGAAGTTAAAAAGGAAAAATATTTTGTATAAAATGCAATTTTTATATCCACAGATACAAGTCAGGAGGAGGAGGAAAAGAAAAATCTAAAAAGAACAAGCAAAGAAAAATCCAAATCAAAGAAATTAAGGAAAAGGTAACTTACAAATACCTAATTAAGCCTAAAACAGAATTTTCTTTATATTTTAAAATCCAAAATATACTTTCCAAATTGTTACATCCCATGCATGTTAACCTTTTATTTTTGCTTCTACAAAAGCACATATACTAAATTTGAATGTCTGATACAGAATTTTTACTCTATAAATCTAAACATACTACTAATCTTTTGCATACAAATGAGGAACGTGGCTAAAAAGCGATAGACATTGCAATTAAAAATGCTAAAAGAAGACTCTTGTTTACTCTAAACAACAATATAAAACTATTTAGAATGAGAATTTAAATTAATAATTTATTTGCTTGATATTCTAGCAATCACCATACTAAGACTCTGTTCCTACAAAGATTTATGCATGAGCTTAACTTTATGCACTGTGAGTACCCCCATTGAAGTCAGTTGGGGCATTAAGGTGTAGCTATGTTAATTCTGCACACTAACTGTCCTTGTGGAACCTGGTAGTGTGCACTAGAAGTTCCCTGGTGCACTTTGACTATTACTACGAAGAAGCCAAATCCTGCGTACCTTACTCTCACAAGTAGTAACAATGAAGTTTATGGAGCTGTTCTCAAGTAAGTTAAAGAGGATTCCCTCCCCCGCCCCTTAAATTGTTAGATTTTTGTACTTAAAACCAAGTTACTACATAAATATTCTAAATGTCACACCAGATTTATCTCTTATTAAACAGACCATTCAGTTTAATCAAAATGGGTATATCTTTTGCATCTGGTAACGTCTGCTCTCTGAATTGGCAGGGATTGTGGGAAGGGGAATGGTAGTACAGCCATTTGTTTGAAGGTATTATTAAGTTAGATACTATTACTGTAGGTTTTCTCGTCAAGCTTTCATCTCCTTATGTGCCTTGTTTTCATGCTTTCAATCCATTTTCTTTAGACCTAAACATATAAGATCATTTGCCTATCAATAAAGTTTTAACCTTGAAATGTCTCCATTCCATAGTTTGGAAAATGCTATAGGCAGAGCAAAGAAATAAAAATAATATTTAAACCACTAAGGTACAATTAGTGATTAATTTACAAGCAGGAGTCACTAACTCTTTCCAAATGTAACCCGCATGTTTGTGAACACTGTTAATTAAGGAGTACCACAAATCTTGCTTTCCTGGTGAGGCAGCCTCATCAGAGAGGCCAAGGTTTGGATGAGCATGGATATGGTTGGCTTACCCATTACAGGCTGGTGTGGACAACCTCTATACCTACAGCATGAATTCATGTGTTTATACAGTCTCCAGCATTAAATTCAGTGTAGAAAGAAAAATAAAGTGAATATATACATACCCTGGTTGGTAATGTAATCTGTATTAATTTTGGGGTTTTTTAACAGATCATCTTCATCAAGTGTCACTGAAGAAGAAGATCCAAAACCAAAAAAACAGAAATGCCACAAAAAAGAAAGGAAAAAGGAGAAAAAGAGTAAATCTAAGAAAGGAAAACATCACAAAAAAGAAAAAAAGAAGAGGAAAAAAAGAAAAACGTTCATCATCTGATAGTTCAGACTCTTCTAGTAGCGACTGAGGAGTTAGTGCATTCAGCTTTCATTAACCTGAAAGATTAGGATTGCTTACCTTTCAAATCTATCCTATATGTGCTTTACAATATTGTCAGGTTAAAAAAAATTATATATATATTTTAAAAGTACATTTATTTACAAATATCCACAACTTAGGTTATTAAACCGAAAGATTTGCGGGGTGGCAGGGGGAAATCTACATGTTGTTGTTTTTTGCCATTAATGGTGTTTCACTATTTCCATTCTATGCAAGTTGGACCAAGAAAATAGACTAGTTGTTTAAACTTTTGTGGTTAGTTCATTTCTAGTCAGTTTTTGATTGCTAGCTCCCATGCATGACCAGAATATTCAGATTGCTAACATGTGCAGGGAAAGATTTGAACTAATTAAAATGTACTTTCCACTGGAATTTTTAACAAAATTTGTTGAAACATTTTTATTAATTTTAAGTTTTCTAAAACCTTGATTTTTATTAAAATAAAAACCTACATGTTTGGCATAATTCCATATCAGCCACCACTTAAAAGCAATAAATAGAGACACTGGTGAATAAAAATAAGGAGATTGAGCTAGAAGAGAGGTTTTTTTTGAAGGGACAGGTGGGGGAAGAAATAGTAAATATTTGCTACAAATAAGAACAGTCTCTTATAACTGATCTGGTAATGTACTTTGAAACAAATGGCGATTGTTTTCCATCATACTCAGAAAATGGCCCTATCTATACATGGACAAACATAACACCTATCATTCTTTAGTTTCCTTTTCTTCTTTGTAAAATAGATAGATGTAATGCTGTGTCTACACTATGAGCTATGGGAGTGATTCCCCTGCTCATGTACACATACATTAGCTCTCATGGAACTAGCGCATGTATAAATAGCTGTAGAGCCGTGGTACCATGGCAGCAGCAAAGGCACTGCTGAGCTCGACTGAGTACGTACCCACTAGTTTCAGGCGGATGTGTATAAGGCATATACCGTTATCCGTATTAAGTGACAATCCAGCAATGTTTTCTACAGTAATGTCCCAGTGCTGTGTCAATTTATTGTGTTAAGATTACCTACTCACCTCTTTTAAAAGGGGTAAGGGGAATCAAAGACTGGCGCTTTGGATACTCTTGATTATTTCAACTCCCATTCACCATTATCTTTAACAGTAAATGGCTTTATAAAACCAAAAATATTTTCTTCTATTATGTAACACAGCATGTGCCCTGTTGTCTAAGGACCAGCTCCTGCTCCACTGAAGTCCGTGGCAAAATTCCCCAATGGCTATAATAGCTGGATGATCAGGAACCTAAACAGTAATATTTCTTGTTTCAAATTACCTCAAGCCCATTGCAGGTATAGAGAGTCAGTGTGTCAGGAATTATTCCATTTATACTGGTGTAAAATCAGTATAAGTGAGTAGAATTAGGGCCATAGTCTGAACCTTACTGCTGTACCTCCTTAACAAGACATAGGGTTTATCTATCCAGTATGGCAAAGCGTGCCACAGGGGTGTGATTTGTAAAGCGCACTAATGTGCAATGCTCTAACTGCCCCATGGAAATCCTTCTGCCATGTTCTAAAAGGTACCTAGTTTGTGTTAACCTTTTCCTGTTTGAAAGACACTTAACTTGAATTAGACACTTTTAGACAGTGCTAGCAGATTTTACTCGGGCCAGTCAGAGCACAACACCTTAGAGCACTTTTAGAAATCACACCCCCTAGCATGCATTGCCTGTGCCATGTAGACAAGGCCATACCTAGTTAATATATTTCTAAGTAGTTCATTTTTCCTTTATTTTGGACATAATAGGACACTTTTTTAAAAATACTGTGATATTGGCATATGTAAAATTTATATTTGAGCCTTTAAAACTGGCCTATGAGCAAAAAAATTAATTAAATCTCCTTTTACCCAGGAGCGGAACATTTAAGAAATTTATTACTAAAGAGAAGTGCAGAGAATATTTTAAGATTTAACCTATATTGTGCTTTATATCTGAAATGCTTTTTTAAAATATGACTAGGAAGCAGATATGTGACATTGATATTGTGCTTCCCTTATGTAACTGATTTGCAGATACTTATTTGACTTCTAACCCTTCAAATTTGCACAAACAATATTTTGAATTCAAGAAGCGATTAATAAAATGTTACCTAGACTTTTGTGCGGCCTTTTACAAAACTGCAAACAATGTAATGTATTTATCGTACAATTGTAGTTGCTGTTTATTTGCCACTACCCCAATGCATTTCCATTTTCTTGATTTATTACCAGACTGTTTAGTACATTTAAAAATTAATTGGCATAAGTGAGGTCATGTAGTCTTCACAGATTCAATGGTCAAAATATTTTTGTGCCCTCAAGGTTTTTTAACTTCTGACGATTGCAGGTATTCAGGCTCCATCCTGCAAGGCATCGAGCCCCTCCTTCAATATGCTGAATGCCATTAATTACCATTGATTTGGGACTTGAGGGAGGTCAGTACCTTACACCAAACCTTTAGAGTGAACTCTGAGTCTTATATATTTATTGCAAAGAAGAAAAATGTAATTTGATGATAGTTTGGAAACTGAATGGCTCAGTGGATTAATAGAGTAAGGGTCACACACTTTGTAGCTTGTGGAGGCCAAGCTTACTGCATGCATCAGGGACTCCTTGTATTCCTCCGTTCCACCCCACAAGCTCTTTGTGTGTCCCCCTTTCTCCTGTGCCACTGGCTCTAGGGATGAAGAGGGGGCATTCCATCCTGCCCTGTACCAGAGTCCAGTGTTCTGCTCCCCCCCACACACACACACACACAAAATGTTCTGTGTGACCCTTTTCTGCATTACCAGGGTCCCCCCTTCTCCTCCCATGCCAGTGGCTCTGTGTAGAGCCCCATTTCCTCTCCCCTATACCAATGGTGTGCACACCTTCTTGCCCTGACCCCCATTATTATTTGTTTGAGATAAGTCATTCAGATTGTCAATGTGTTAAACTCTATTGGAAGGATGAGATGAAATGGGGTAATGTTATGCCAGAAGACATTAATGGGTATCATCAACCAGTTTGATTTATAGACAATTGCAGATGTCCTTGAAACTGTGGCTGTGCTAAGCAGATGGCAGGAGCTCCATATATCCCCCATTTCCCCTTTATGGTTTTCAGTTTCCTCCAACAGGAATAGGTTTCTGGCTGCTGAAGCATAGAATATACCCTGATATTTTGGAATTGATCATATGTGGTGTTTGAAAGTTACCATGTTACATCCACACATAGAAATGCCATCACGTTGAGTATATGTCCTTGCAAGCTCAGCTAAATATGGAGCATATCATCTCTGTGATGTCGATAGGAGTTTGCCCAGGGCAGCACTCACTGGAAGATGTTGCCATTTGGTGGCTGTTTGACCTATGTGAAATGAGTTGGCAGTTAGTCTGGTTTAACTGCATATGTGTGTACATCACAGCAGCCTCAAATAAGTACCATTGTTGGCAGCTTCAGTAAAGAGGCCAAGGAGTTGAAAGATCATCAAAATTGAATTACTTTCTAGGCCTAAAGGGGGTTCTTCTACATGAGAGCTGGAGCTATTTGAGAATGCTTTCACTGTTGCTCCTAAGCTTGACTTGTCACTTGGATGGAAACAGGATTTTAGCCTCCAGAACGGTCAAGCCTGCATTTTGTCAAGCCTGCATTTTTCACTAACATCAAATACTCTTTATAGTATTAAAGAAGATTGAGAGATTCTCTAGAATCTCTCCCATGTAATGTTAAATAATAGAAGCTCTTCTCCCTCAAGAATAAAATACTAAGTTGTTAAGTTAACAACTTAAGTTGGATCTAAATGTATATACTAAATATATATACTAATTAAATTAAATAAATTTGGACATTTTAATGGTAAAACTGACATACTGAAAAATTAGAAGTCAATCACATTCAATCAGCTTTTTTAAAAAGTGTAATATCCCACATATTTAGTTCTTTTTGTTTCATATTGAATCTTTGCTACTAATGGGTTTTTGCTTTGAAAGTGCAGTATTTCTAGTTACTTTAAAGATGTTTTGCTTGCATTTGGTCCCTGAAACTGTTTTGTAGGCAACTGTTTATGATGAGCTCAGTAGCTTCTTGGACACTGGGTAAAATTAATCTCTCTGCAAAGGGCCAGCACAAAGTCTATTTACCTTGTTAAATTCTACTCAAGCCCTATTTTAAGGGCTTAAGTGATGTATAGGCCATGTGCTGACACTCTCATTCACATGCTGTGCTTATCACCATGGAACTCAGAGAGCAGTGCAAGGATTTCAAAGGGAAAGAACTGCTTTCCATTCCAGTTGCAGAACTTGGCAGCACTGAAGATGGAGATGGGCTTCTTTGCCATGGTCCCTGACTATACAAAGCTAATGTTAGGAGCTGCATTTTTTCAGAATGATTTTTTTTTTTAAGGAAATAGGGTGAAGATATTAAAGCATTTCCTCATTTCCTTGTACAAGACTTTTAACATAATAGGCATAGGGATGTTTGTGTTTCACTGAGATTTGCTGCACACCTTTGATATTACCAAAAGGGCCCAGGCTCCCAGCCATTTCAACAGGACATGGCTTTGGAAAATTTGTGTCCTGAACCTACTCTAAAGTTTATTATTTGGCATCCCCTTCATGGATAACCGTTCATATTGCTGGCCTGAAATACAGGTTTTGTCCAGGCTTTGCCTATTCCAAAAGTATAGGATGGTTAATGCAATTTGATCTCATAGAATATAAGGGTTGGAAGGGACCCCAGAAGGTCATCTAGTCCAACCCGCTGCTCGAAGCAGGACCAATTCCCAGTTAAATCATCCCAGCCAGGGCTTTGTCAAGCCTGACCTTAAAAACCTCTAAGGAAGGAGATTCTACCACCTCCCTAGGTAACGCATTCCAGTGTTTCACCACCCTCTTAGTGAAAAAGTTTTTCCTAATATCCAATCTAAACCTCCCCCACTGCAGCTTGAGACCATTACTCCTCGTTCTGTCATCTGCTACCATTGAGAACAGTCTAGAGCCATCATCTTTGGAACCCCCTTTCAGGTAGTTGAAAGCAGCTATCAAATCCCCCCTCATTCTTCTCTTCTGCAGGCTAAACAATCCCAGCTCCCTCAGCCTCTCCTCATAAGTCATGTGTTCCAGACCCCTAATCATTTTTGTTGCCCTTCGCTGGACTCTCTCCAATTTATCCACATCCTTCTTGAAGTGTGGGGCCCAAAACTGGACACAGTACTCCAGATGAGGCCTCACCAATGTTGAATAGAGGGGAACGATCACGTCCCTCGATCTGCTCGCTATGCCCCTACTTATACATCCCAAAATGCCATTGGCCTTCTTGGCAACAAGGGCACACTGCTGACTCATATCCAGCTTCTCGTCCACTGTCACCCCTAGGTCCTTTTCCGCAGAACTGCTGCCTAGCCATTCGGTCCCTAGTCTGTAGCTGTGCATTGGGTTCTTCCATCCTAAGTGCAGGACCCTGCACTTATCCTTACTGAACCTCATCAGATTTCTTTTGGCCCAATCCTCCAATTTGTCTAGGTCCTTCTGTATCCTATCCCTCCCCTCCAGCGTATCTACCACTCCTCCCAGTTTAGTATCATCCGCAAATTTGCTGAGAGTGCAATCCACACCATCCTCCAGATCATTTATGAAGATATTGAACAAAACCGGCCCCAGGACCGACCCTTGGGGCACTCCACTTGATACCGGCTGCCAACTAGACATGGAGCCATTGGTAACTACCCGTTGAGCCCGACAATCTAGCCAGCTTTCTACCCACCTTATAGTGCATTCTTCCAGCCCATACTTCCTTAACTTGCTGACAAGAATACTGTGGGAGACCGTGTCAAAAGCTTTGCTAAAGTCAAGAAACAATACATCCACTGCTTTCCCTTCATCCACAGAACCAGTAATCTCATCATAAAAGGCGATTAGATTAGTCAGGCATGACCTTCCCTTGGTGAATCCATGCTGGCTGTTCCTGATCACTTTCCTCTCATGCAAGTGCTTCAGGATTGATTCTTTGAGGACCTGCTCCATGATTTTTCCAGGGACTGAGGTGAGGCTGACTGGCCTGTAGTTCCCAGGATCCTCCTTCTTCCCTTTTTTAAAGATTGGCACTACATTAGCCTTTTTCCAGTCATCCGGGACTTCCCCGGTTCGCCACGAGTTTTCAAAGATAATGGTCAATGGCTCTGCAATCACAATCTCCCTTCATTTCTTCTTCCCATGCCCTTGATACTGCTAGCTCCCTTTTGAAGCAGATTTCTCTGGTTGCTACTACTGCACATCTTAGTGCAGGGGTGGCCAACCTGAGCCTGAGAAGGAGCCAGAATTTACCAATGTACATTGCCAAAAAGCCACTGTAACATGTCAGCAGCTTCCCCGCCACCCCCAGCACCTCCTGTCCGCCAGCAGCCCTGCCGATCAGCACCTCCCCCTCCCTCCCCGTGCCTCCTTCCCACCACGATCAGCTGTTTCACAGTGTTCAGGAGGCTCTGGGATGGAGTGAGGAGGAGCAAGGGTGCAGCAGGCTCAGGGGACGGGGCAGGAAGGGGCAGGGGCCTTGTGGTAAGGGGTGGAGTAGTGGCAGGGCCTGGGGTTGAGCAGTGGAAAGTTGGGACCAGTAGCTCCAGCCCCGGAGTCAGTCAGCACCTGTGCAAGGAGCCGCATATTAACTTCCGAAGAGCCACATGCGGCTCTGGAGCCACAGGTTGGCCACCCCTGTCTTAGTGCTTTGTTAATGACAGTCAGTATGTAGTCTGAGGGGCTTTTAGTTTAGAAAAGTAACTGGTCATGTTTTTTAATGGTCTACATGGTACTTCTGTATTTTTGTAATTTTCTGTCTCCATTAGATTTTTTTTGTTCTGATTGTACATAGGCAGTCTTCTGATTTCAATAGATGAGGTGCGGTAGCTGTTTATCTATCATCATGACCACTGATACCATGATACCATTATCCAATGATAATTATATGGTATTTTATACCAAGGACCCTGTTCAATGTTAAAGGCAGCATCTCCTAAAAAGTATGAGTGACCCAAGCTTCCATCGATAAATTTTTTTATCTAAAGGAACTGTGGAACTGAGAAAGCGTTAATGTACTGTTTTTTTCTTAGTGTCACAGTGAAGAACCGGCACAATTCCACCTTAC